GTCAAAAGTCAAGCAAAAATTGGACTGATATTGGGCACTATTTCAAGCACAATTTTTTGAGACGTAAATTGTACCTATAGCTCGTTCGATATTCGCGCACTGAGGTGAGTATGCTGGGCGTAGAACCTACGCCCAGCATACTCACTGAACGAAGCCTATAACTCCGAAGTTATTCGAGCACTGTTTTTTCTTTTTGGGCACCGTTTGGCACTATTTGGGAACTATTTTTTGAAGTATGAATTATGTTTGAAGCGTATACAGATTCTCCGGACGGAGGTGAGTATGCTGGGCGAAACCTTCGTCCAGCATACTCATCGAACTATGGCTATAACTTCGCAAGTACAAGAGCACTATTTTTTTCCTTTGGGCACTATTTAGCACTATTTCAGAACAGTTTTTTGACATTCATGAAATATCAGGATTCCATGGTGAGTATGCTGGACGAAGGGACACCAAAAAAAACCTTTTAATGTACGCAGAATGTATGATTCTTAATATTGTATAGTACTCACACCATATTATTTAATTTATTCAAAATCCTTAACGTGAAGACTTGTAATTGGCTCATTGTTACCTACGCCTATTGTTATTTTCTCCATTTTTATAAGCTGTAAGTCCTCCATGAATTATAAATAAATAATAAAAGAAAATAAATATGTAGATCAAGTTTTTAGAAGTTTTTCACCGTCCGACCGTGATATAATAATTGCCTTCCTAGCGCTGAGTATATTTCTGCTTAATTTTAGATTCATACACATTGAAACTGGTATTAAACTGAAAAACACCGCGAGGACACCGGTGACCGCAACCTATTGTACTTTAATTCTGTCTATAATGACCTTTTTTAATATTTCTGTGCTAATGACGGTACTCGAAGGATTAAATATGTCTAGTTCATTTATTTCTTCGTTATAAATGCTAACACTGCGTTTGAAAAAGTTGTTACTTGTGTATATTGTTCTATAAGAGGGCACTGAAAACAATGTTCACAAGAGGGAACCATGCCGGGGCACTCTCAGATATATTCTTTCTAATAGTGCGGGTGAGTCAACATAACCATTCATCAAAGTATTTTCATCGATCAGAGAGCAACGACAAATTGTGGTACCTTAATGAGGTTTCATAAGACACAGGGTGACAGCAGCGGTAATCTAAGCATTAAATTAATTTATTCTAAATATTTTCAATTCGAATGATGTGACCGTACAAAACTAAAGTGAAGTAACTTTAAAGTATTAGCTCGTTTAAAATGGCTTTGAAATCATTGTAATGAAACCAAGCTGCCTGTACAACTTTTTGATCACATGATCTATATGTAAGTTAAACGAGAGTTGTGAGTCCATCAAGACACCCAAAAGACGAATCGGGGAATTCGCCGTTAATATGGTAGTTATAGTGTACAGGTTTTTTACGGTTTCGATTGTATATATATTTTATCCGAGTAGGTAACAAGTAATTTAATAGGTAAATGTGTCTAAACATCAAAAATGAAGGGTCTGCTTTTTCCAACGCCAGATAATTCAGGGGTGATCCCTTAGCAGCCCCAAATCGATTGCTTTGAAATTTTGCATACGTAAAGTTAGAAGTCTGGCTTAAATAATAGGGTACTTTTTATCTCGGAAAAAATTGGATATTTCCGAGGGAAAACAAAAATAATGGTAAAGATGGCGCTGTGTGTTATTTAAAACTAGTCAACGAATTACCTACTTATTGGAAAAATCTAAATAGCGCGATATAACCGAATTCCACGCGAGCGGAAAGCTATTTGTTTGTTTGCCTGTCTTAAACGGCAGAACGGAGGTACTAATTAACGTGATTTTTTAACTGAAGGTAGTTGAAGGGATGGATAGTCACATAGGCCACTTTTATTCTTTTGTGACGCGAACGAAGCCGCTGGTAAAAGCTAGTGTAGTATAAGTATGAATCATATGATAATAATGTTATTTTGTAGTTCGTCTTCACAGTTACAAAAATGTTCATTTTTTTGGTAATTGTGGGCGGCTGTGTTTAATATTTGAAGATGCGGATTGTGTTTTCTATGTTTAATATTATTTTCGATAGCAAACTTAATAGGTTACAAAGATACCAAAAACTTACTTATTGTTGATTTGATCTCAGTAAAATGATCTTTATACTTTTAAAAGTTCATAGTTATCTGTATAATTATTATGGTTTGGATTGAAAAGAAATTTAATGTATCATACAATTTGTTTTATTTGTAGACTTATTGGATACTAAAAAAAATGGTGTTTCTTTTTAAATTACAAATTCTAAACCGAAAACCGGACCTAGCTCCGTTTTTCGGTTTAGGTCCCAAAAACCGATGTTCAAAACCGGTTTTGATTACTCGCCGGTTTTGCATGCCCTAGACCCAAGTACACATCTTCTTTACAAAGATACTGTAAGGAAGATGGTTGACACTTCAGGAGATTGAAGGGCTGGCTTCTACCTTGGGCAAAAGTTAAGGATTTCCATTCAACATGGCAATGCTGCCAGTCTTTTGGGCTAGGGTGCCCAAAAGACTGGCAGCATTGCCATGTTAGCGATGAGGAAAATTTTTTTTGACGGCATTTTTTTATTATTACTTTATTTAAGGTGTAAATATTTTAGTTTTTAGTCATTTATATTTTTAGTTGTATAAATTTATTTAATTTAATATTAATCTTGAATCTATGCTAACAAACAAACTTCCACACCTGTTTTAAGGGAACTGGTAATTAGAAATTGGAGGATTAGAAAGAGTATTAGAGGAGAGGAGGATTAGAAAAGTAGCCTATGTCTATACTCTTCATCCTTTCAACTATCTCCACTCAAAATAAAAATCACATCAATTTCTAGCTACATTCTGTCATGAAAGACTGACAAACAAACAGACACATACAAATGTATAATCTTATATCTCATACTATTATATAAAGCGGAAGAATTAGTTTTTTTTTGTTTGATTGTATAAACACGCTAATCTCCGTAACTACAAGTCTGATTTGAATATTTCTTTTTGTGTTGGATAGCGCATTTATCGAGGCTGGCTAAGACATCACGCTGAAACGCACATCACATGTGAAATATTAAGTATAGATTTCTTTGTCATCTGACATTTTTTGACAAAGGAGTTTCATGCCAGTGGTTCATTAGCAATTTGTTTTTTGATAACATTATATTAATATAACATTAAGGTATGAAAAGAGGTTTACAGCAGTCTAAAGAGAGAAAACTATGAATAAAATATTTTCAGTTAACTTGAAATCATATTATTTTATTATTATACTAGCGACCCGCCCCGGCTTCGCACGGATGCAATATGTATAAAAAACCGCATCAAAATCCGTTGCGTAGTTTTAAAGATCTAAGCATACATACGGACATACAGCAAAAGCGACTTTGTTTTATACTATGTATTGATGCATATGAAGTTGCAGAGAACAGCTAGTAATAGAGTTGTCCACTATTCCATCAGTATACAGTATCGCTGTACAGTGGACAGTGTAGGCTTGTGCAGACAGCAAACTGAGCAAAGTACCCACAAGTTTTCACTACTCATCTACCTGATACATTACAGCCAATTAATAGCAAGTTACAAAAACAATGCATAGTTGATTATTGGTACTAGTTCTTATCATAACAGTATCCAAATAAAATGTACAAAATGTAAAGAGCAGTCAAGAGTACCACTGTACACCGCCTCACAATATGTGTATAGAACTACTCCTGCACGGTTGCACTGGCTGCTCAGAGTAATGTTTTATAGCCTTCCTCAGTTAATGGACTAATCAACACAAAAAGAATTCTTCAATTCGCACCAGTACATCAGGAAGACATATTAGTAAGTATAGATACAGTTATGTCAGATGACATTTACCTGAACTTGTTGGGTTTGCTTGCAAGTTTTCACAAACTGTTGCTCTTTGTGCCTTTTTGCCATTCTTAGTGACAGCCACTGTACTGTGCGTCTGTTCACTTGGTTGGGCCCGGGACTCTATTATCTTCAGATCTTTAATGTCAGCTGCACTGTAACACAATATCAAATACAAATAAGTTTGGCAATGTTAATCTCTCTCGTAATACTCATTATTATTATATTGACTTACTTCAGAGTCACTTGTGCCTTTGGGTAAGGAAAGCCATTCCTGAAGGCCTTTGTTAAAGTTATTGTGTTTCCATCTGCCTCTAAAATTGTTCCCTGGTAGCAGCCTAAAGGCTCACCACAATTAACCGATATAGCATAACCGATCCAGTTTGACATTTTCGAAAAATCTGATTTAAACTACTTAATTTCAAAATGTAGACAGCTTCAATAGTACCGCATCGATAAGTTTATATTTGTGCACTTATACAAATTAAATGTCTTTTATGTAATTATTGTTTGATATAAATTATTTAGAGAAAATATTAAAATCGAACATTGCACTGCAGCGAGGAAACAATATTACATAAATAATAATTTTAGCAGGAATCTACACATATCACCATGTGAATATTTATTTATCGCCACAAACAGTCGTGTGTGTAACTAACGCCGAGCCGAGATAATATTTAATGTCAATGTCACTGTTGAAGTGCTGACAAACTGACACTTGACATACTGACAGATCCAGTGTCAAACTCTCGGTTGCTATCATAGATATATAAAAGGGGATCTGAAATAATATCGACATCACGGGAATTGAAGCCAAAAAGACCTTAACAATGGCGGAGCTCCGCCCATATAGGCAATTCAATGTAAATATAAAAGAATGACTGATTATTTCGTTCAATTCGAAACAAAGAAATAAAAGAATTACTAAAAGAGTACAACTGATGGTAAAGCATTCACATAATCATAAACTCACTAAATACCAATGCCATTGAAACCTTCGGTCAACGATAACTTTATATAAGACTAGCGACCCGCCCCGGCTTCGCACGGGTGCAATATGTATATACATACAAACCTTCCTTAAGAATCACTCTATCTATTAAAAAAAACCGCATCAAAATCCGTTGCGTAGTTTTAAAGATCTAAGCATACATACGGACATACAGCGAAAGCGACTTTGTTTTATACTATGTATTGATTCTTAGGCGAGTACTTTATAAAAAAAACCTAACCTTTCCAGAGAATGTTGGCTAAAGAACGTTGCTCCAAAATCACGTAAACTGAACTTATTTCATAGACCTCTATAATATAAGATCAGACTGCTAAAAATCCGTACGTTTTCCTGTAATCTGAAACAGTACGGTTAAATAGACACAGGGGTAGGTGAGAGTGCATTATATGAATAGATAACAGTCGTTTTGATGATAATAATAATTTATTCATAGCGAAACAATATTAATTTTGTAAAAAAAATACATGCTAGTCATGCTTTTTGCCGTAACATTTATATCTTATGTCTAAATATGTCACAATTACTGATTTAATTAATAAAAGTTTATGAGACTCTCATATTCACCTTTAGTGTCATTGAAAATTTGGCCATTTTCAAAAAGAGTAGGAACCACGTTACCTTGATGTCGAATAATCTTCAATGTTCTGTTCACACAATCTTCTTCAAAATGGCTGGAGCATATTGTTATTACTTACTGCTGCAAGTTTCATATTTTCCATGCCTATTTTTTCCATCCACAACTCCTTTAGAACTTCATTTTTAGGAAATCTAAAATCAAATTTAATCATCAATGTATAAATTAAATAAGGTTTACGAAAACAAAAATGTTGTAGTTGTGCATTTTAGGACGTCACTCAATTCACAAACATGTCTTAATTATAAGCAAGGAACTCCTCTAAGTTCCTTGATTATAAGGCTCTTTATCACTTATTTTTTTAGTTTTTCTGTTTTTTATGACTTAACTCGTCGAGTACCGTCATTATAGACACAATTATTGAACAATAGGTTGCGGTCACCGGTGACCGCAACCTATTATTACTTACTGTCTACTGGGGCTTTCAGGATGTCGCGTTGATGTTGTCACGTCATAACCGCTTGGTCCTATATCGCAAACACGGATGATTCTATTGATGGGGAGACCTGTTGCTTTTTAATCCACTTAAAAGTCATATTATATCATATTATATTTTATGATGGGTATGCTCGTTTGCCTCCTATTCCCTAAAAAAAAACAATAACATCCATTATTTTTATGTCAAAGTGAATGTGTCAAATATTGAAAATGTCAGTAAACTGTAGACAAGAGTATTGAGTTTGACAAGACTGAAGACACACGACAATACAATTATACACAACGATGTTACATGTATTCAAACTTCAAATCATATGAAACTCAAGTAACTAGTAAGACGGCAATTTAGAATGAAGCGTGTTTCTATCTGAGATAGGTAGGTAGTCAATCGAGTTAACCAGTAAAGTCACTGGCCGCCTGAGCGAATGGGGCTGCTTGTTTTTGTTTCATCTGTAGAAAAAAAGGTCTGCCTAAAACAAGAAAAATATTCATATTCGAAATGGTAAGCGATTATTATTATTTAATAAAAAACTTACTACGCCTATTATTATTTTTTTATAACTAAATTAGACGAAAATAATATAAGTACTACACATACTACAGAATGTACATAAGTTTCAATAAATTCTCATCTTTCATAACTCATAACAGATTTGTTGAAGTTAAAATCACATTGACTAGTTTGCTATGAAAAACTCTTCATTTGGTTACAATTCTCACATCAGACAAGTAACATGCAATTATGGATCTTAACTAGAAACATGTAACTCTTTTTGGTTTAGGTTTAAAAACAAATATTCTCAATAAAACTTAAAACATCAACAACACTAAGGAAATAAATTTTATATACTTACAGTTTATTGTCATTAATCATGTACAGACTACATAATTATAAAGAAACAAAGTCCCCCATCCAATGCAATCATTTCCTCACTAGTGATTGTTGATTTACAACTATATAAGGCTGCCTCTGTGCCCTAATATTCTTGCATGTAACTCCACATTTATGTTTATATTGTTTTAAGGTGTATAAAAAAGATTATTATGTATGTCTTTACCATTCACGGGACCACAGGGTTCTGGTCATTTGGGAGGCATACAAGGGCCGAAACCAACTGCGCAGAGGCCCTTTAGGCAACTTTAATCTAAACGTAATGGACACACAAACCGGCGACTATCCCTGTATGCACTATGGAAATGCACACAAGGACAGTGCCCGCTTAGTGTAGAACTATTGTATGTAGATAATGGAAAAAAAGGTAGGACTATGGATGGGTTGATGTGGACCGGTAAATTGGAAACTATGGATGACTATGGCACCTGCCGAAGCAATGTCATTATTACATGTAAAAATGGCAGGCAGAGACTCGCCTTGGGCTCGCTGTCATTGCAGCGGTAAGTGCTGTCTTTGAGGAGAGGCTTGAGAGACGCTACGGCGTCCTCACCTACCGCCTGACGCAGATGGTTACCGGACAAGTTTCGGTAGGTTCCTGTTTCGGATTGGGTGGGAGGAAACGTCCGGGTGTCATCACTGCGAGGTTCGCCCAGAGGACACGGTGGAATATACGGTGGCTGTGTGCCCTGCGTGGGCTGAGCACCGCCGTGTCCTCAGGCATGTGATCGGCGACTGCAACCTCTCGCGTCCGTCTCTGGTTCAGACCATGGTACGAAACGAGGGGGACTGGGATGCCGCCTCTTCCTTCTGCGAAGCAGTCATGCTAGCTAAGGAGGAAGCAGAGCGCATGAGAGAACAAACCACCTCACGCCCCAGCCATCGCGAGAGACACTCCGCGCGTCGGGAATCGCGAGACGATCTCCGGTCACCGTAAGCTCGGGCCTGCGGATGGCGAGCACGGGTGACTCGCCGCCCGACCATAACCAGGCCCGAGCGTACGGCGCGTCGCGTTCTGCGCGCGCCTCCAGGAGCCGTCAGACTACCACAGATGGGGCCCAATAGGGCTGATGCCGATACGGTGCTGCGGAAGACTTAACGGGTTGCCAGGGCTCCGGCTCGAAGTGCAGGAGTAGGAACGGGGTGGTTTTTAGTCAGTAAGAGTCTGACACTCCCTCTCGCCTCACCAAGGCGGGAGAAGTCATTGGATGATATTCCCCGTTCAGAAAAAAAAAAAATGCGGAGACTCGCCAACTCACCGACCGTGTCCCGGGAATGGTTGCTAGATATAGCAACAGGGGTACAACGAGAATGTGAGTGACTGAAGGGTTAAGAAACTACCACCGTTTTATACTCAGATCATCTGCTCCAGCCGAAGCCCCCTGCATCCCTGCCTCCTTACGAATAGTTTCTTACCCTCCGAGCAGGATCACTGCTATCGCGACTTCACTCTGGATTAAGGCAATTAAGCCTCAGCCAATTAAGGTAAGCCGTAGTGCTTGCCCTAATTCTCCAATAAGGAACAGTGGCTTCTCCCTGGGCCACTTGGGATAATGGTAGCCCGCGATGTTGCTCATGGCCGTCACCGCCGTCCTTTTTTAGCTGATTTTTAAGAAATAAGTACACTGTTAGACGCTAAAAAACGTGATGTCACTATTCACAATCTCGTACAAAATTCATAGAAACTGTCGTTTTTGACGGTTGGTTCGTTAATATATTAATCATTTTAAATAGGTCCAGTAATAATTTTCGACAAATGAAATCGCAGGCAAAATCTAGTACAAGATAAATTCATTAACATTTCGTTTAACTGTAAGGTGGTTTAGATCTAAAGAAGCAGTTAGCGCAAGCATAAGACTAATATAGCTATAGCTCACAATTCCATTTCATAGTAAAAGGATTGATAAGAGATAGTTTTGCAGCAGAGTATGGAGTTTGTGAAAGAGAACAAGCCGGCACAACTACCGCTGTCCATATGGTGGGTGGCGGCGGGGCTGGCGGCCAACGCCGCGCTTCTGGCGGGCGTGGCGCTACTGGACGCCGCGCTGCCCGAGCCGCTGGGGCCCGGCGCGCCGCCTGAGCGCTTCCACGGGCTCACCGCGCACCAGCATCTCACCAACCTCACCGCAATCGGCCCTAGGGTGCGTCCGTCTCGCTTGTTGCGACGTCTGCCCGGTTGCCGTCATCACGGCTTCTGCACTGAAATTGCAGGTGGCAGGCAGCTACGAGAACGAAGTGTTGGCGGTGGGCGTGCTGGTGGCGGCCGTGAAGGACATCGCGGCGCACGCCTCGCCGCACAACCAGCTCGAGCTGGACGTGCACACCGCCAGCGGAGCATTCGCGCTTTCCTTCATGGACGGTGCGTGCGTGTGAGTGGAGCGAGTGGCGCGGGGCCGGTACTGACGCGCGCGTGTTGCAGGTATGAACAACGTGTACCGCGACGTGCAGAACGTGGTGGTGCGCGTGCGCGGCGTGGGCGGCCGCGCCACGGGACGCTCCGCCCTGCTCCTCAACTGCCATTTTGACACTGTGCCTGACAGCCCTGGTAAATACTCGTATATACAATACCCATCTTGATACTGTTTTAACACTTCGCACCGTCCATGCAACATAACTTCCCTTAAATATCAAGGTCTCTGAAGGAAAGAATTATCCTATTTAGTTCTGTCGAGTTTAGTACGGACTGTTACTAGATAGACACCAAACCCAAAAACGGGATTAAAACAATCAATGTATGTTAAAGCGTCACGCAAAAACTACCGGTCCGATTACGATGAAACTTGGTATAATTCTACGGTAATATCCTGGGCATCACACTTTTTATATCGATAAAGTGTATACACAAATCAACAAACTTATTATGTGGCTCGTTGCCCAGACACCATTACTGTACCAAACGCAAATAACACGTTTGTCGAATGTTAGATAACCCGTAGTGTTATTTTATCGGGGGGCCAAGCGCCTCTTGCCGGAGGTTGTACGCTGGGCTTGTGCGGTCCATGGCCCTCTGCGGCCCCCTGTGTGGGCGCCGAACCTGATGCGGCGCCCCGATCGAGCACTGCTCACGTCACTAGAGGGTCATGGCGATCCGAATGATCCGCGGATACCGCACGATCTCCGGGGAGTCGGCGAACCTCCTTGCCGGATTACCGCCGTGGGATCTGGAGGCGAAGGTGCTCGCGCGCGTGTTCTGTCTGCACGCGGACGCACGTCGCCGGGGTGAAACTCCGCTGCCGCGCCAGATAGTTACGTGCGTGGCGGCAAGAGCTCCGACGCGCTCTGATGGCGGAATGGCAGCAGCGACTGTCGCAACTAAAAGCTGGGCTCGTTGCCATTGCAGCGGTAAGTCCCCTCTTTGAGGAGTGGCTCGGGAAACGCTACGGCGGCGGCGACCTCACTTGCCTTCTGACGCAGGTGCTTACCGAATATGGGAGCTTCGAAAAATACCTGTGTCAGATAAGGCGGGAGGAAACACCCGGGTGTCATCACTTCGAGGACCGCCCTGAGGACATGGTGGAGCATACCTACGGCTGTGGCATGCCCTGCATGGGCTGATCACCGCCGTGCCTTCAGGGATGTGATCGGCGACGGACGGTGACCTCTCGCGGCCGGCACTAGTCCAGGCCATGATGCAGAGCGAGATGGACTAGGATGCTATCTCCTCTTTATGCGAAGTAGTCATGGTAGCTACGTAGGAGGCGGGGCGCGTGAGGCAGCGAAGCGTTGCCTCTTCACAACCCAGCCGCCGCGAAAGACACTCTAGGCGTCAGGAATCGCGAGACGATCTCCAGTCACCGTAAGCACGGGCCTGCAGACGGCGAGCATGGGTAACTCGCCGCCCGGTCAGAACCAGACTCGAGGCCCAATAGGACTAATGCCGATACGGATCCGCGGAGAACGTTAAAAGTTACCGGACCTCCGGCTCAAAGTGCAGGAGTACGAACGGGGTGGTTTTTAGTCAATAAGAGTCTGACTCCCTTTCGGCTCACCCGAGCGGGAAAAGGCATTCGATTATCTTCCCCCCTAAAAAAAACTGGGCCCCATCTGGGATGGTCTGATGGTTTTTTGTGGAGCGCAGTATACGCGACGCGCCTTGTGCTTTTTTTAAAGGTGAAAAATCATACAATTTCTCCTCCCGCCTGGATGAGGCGAGAACCCTCTTGCCTGGTAAGCAAAGCAGGTACTGGACAATGGACAAGCAGTTTTTAATGAGCTTCCAGTTTTTTTTTTTTTCAAATTTTCAAATACCTCCATCCATCTTAATTCTGTGCTGAACTTTTTCTCCTCCCAGCACTTTAGGACATCATTCTTCACGTAATTACACTAACTTACTTCGTCAAACAACTTATGTAAAAGTCCACGTATTATATGTAACTTACCTAATGCCAATATTTTTTTCATCTAAAATTTTGCAATAGTCGCACAGGTACATATCAGGCCACATTATTAGTGAAATGAAATCCTGGAATACCGGGAACTATGCGTTAAAATGCCGGGACCAAGGACGTATAAATAAAAAGAGGGACTTTTAAATTATTAAACCTATAGGACTAGGGACCTTTTAAACCATTAAAACTCTTTGTTGAAATTCAGTACAGCGGTAGTTGGAGACCCGGGAAATGACATCTAAAAGTTTTCAACCCGAGAACTATGCGTTAAAATCCCGGCACTCTCTATCTTTTAAATCAATATATTTGAAATGCGGTACAACATTGGTTTGCATCAAAATTTTTAATATAATTAATATTAATATAAGTTTTTATCACTAAAACCTCACGAGACGGGCACTGTACAAGCCCCTGTGGGATTGTTTTTTTTTTTGAAAACCACGAATATTAATTCGTGTCGCAATAAATATAACCTAAGTACTGAATTGATTCTGATGACATTTGTTACAGTCTGACTATTTAAAAAAATCCAATTTCTACCAGAAGTCATAATTTTTTTTCGTTGTCGGTTTTAGTTTTTAGCTTATTGTACATCCTATGTGAGTCTTACTGTTTTGTCTTCGTGTCTTGTTTCACAAACATGTGGTTTGCCTTTGTTACATTCTACAACTGTAGAATCACAAGGCCACTTGCAAAAAAAATACGTTTTGAAGTTGATTAAAAACAATTTTATGATTAAAAAGTTGAAACCAACTTAGAGGTAAACCAGTTTTTTTGTTATTTTAAAGTGACGTGAGGCGTGCTCATCGTGCGTGTATAAAGTATGTATCTGTTTTTATTACTGTTTTGTAAATTCATTTGAAAAGGTATTTGAATAACGATTTACGGTTTAGCGCCGCTCTTACTGATGTCGCGCTCTTACCTTTTCGTGTATATAGATGATATAGTTGTATTTTGAGACGCTCTATAAAACCAACACAGGCAGGAATTTATTAACACTGTAATTCTATATATATTATTTGAAAAGAATATTAATTAGAAATATACATTAAACTTCCTAAATATAAATACCTATAACTATATCACAATAGAATAGAATAGAATTCTTCTTATAGTGCCTCTTCAATGTTAAAGGTCGGCCGTCAGCTTCTTGTATTTCTCCTTGTCGGTAGCCATGAGAGAGTGATCTCTGGCAATTATTTTTTTAAGGGGGTATTATCATCGAATGTCTGCTCCCGCCTGGGTGAGGTGGGAGGGATAGTCAGACTCTTACTGACTGGAAACCATCCCGTTCCTTCTCCTGCACTTCGAACCGGAGCCCCGGTAACCGATGTGTGGCAATATGAACGTAACACTATGTTAAATAATTAAATTGTTTAGTTGTAGCGAATTATACGGACTTTGTGGATCTAGAACAAATTTCCGTGCGTTTAGGCGCTTTTGCCATACATATTATTGGAAGCAAGTATAACAGCTCACACATAGGACCCACTTAGATTTTAGCCAATTTTCCGTGGTGCTTGGCGACTGGGCTTCACCCAGTTGTACAGTCTCTTTTTTGTGCCTTTAGGCTTAATTCATTCTGTCTCCTGCACTAATTCACCGAGGGAAGTGGAAACTATCGTGTTTTTCTTCTCCTCTTATGATACCTTCTGATTCACTTCGTTGCGGGAACCGAGACAGTTGTTCATGCCCGTGGGACGCGCCGGACTTCAGTGTTCAGGTGTTTTCATGGTTGTGTCAACTGTAGATCCTGGCTTACAGGAGTTGCAGCGATTTTAGGAGGTTGTGGCGGGCTTGTCCCAAAAAAAAATAACAATAGTATACAGACACATATACGCACGTATGTAGGTATAGGTAGTATTTATAATGCACTAGCTGCTCAAATGGCAAATTTTGCATTTTTTAATTAGTATTCTCGAAGGTTAATTGCAATGCTGTGTAACAAATGTCATCACAATAAATTAAGTTATATTTATTGCAAAATGTTTTTTTTTGTTTCGTGATTTCAAAAAATAAACAATCCTACAGGGATTTTATCTGTGTAGTATCCATTCCCGTGAGGTTTCAGTGATTAATAAATAAATTAAAATTTTTTTTTTTTTTTTTTAACGTAGTAAAAATTTATTTGAAAATACATACTTATTATATATACAATTAATATTAACTATAACTAAATGAAAATATATACAACTTAAAATATAAATAACTATGAACTAAAATATTTACACCTTAAAAAAAAAGTAATAATAAATAAATAAGCTATAATAAGGCATCAAAAAAAAAATTTTCCTCATCATTATCGTGAGGTAGGGTGCCCAAAAGACTGGCAGCATTACCACGTTGAATGGCAATGCTTAACCTTTGTCCAAGGTAGAAGCCAGCCCTTCGATCACCTGAAGTGATCACTTTGACGCTTTCCCTTTATTTACAAAGAATTTAATAAAATTTATTAAACACAAAAACTTCCAAAATATGTATCAGTAGTCCAATTATTATACAAAGACTTTTGAAAAATCCCAATAATAATTTGCCCGAACAGGCAGTCGCACTTGCTCGTTCTTTGTTTTTATTTGCTTACCTAGGGTTGGTTACCTCATATCAATAAGCTGCCAATTAAATATTAGATACAATTAGGGCTGGTTTCAATGCTAGGGGATTGGGCAGCGCCGCTGAAGCGCGGGCTTTAACAATAAAGGTAGTACCCAATAGAGGAGATAATCGCATGGCCACAACTAGAACTATTTAATTAGGAACCTTGCCTTTAATGAAATTGGATTCATCAATACAATATTTGCGCACAAAAATCAGATTAGGCGCGGTCTTCAGTTACTTTAGGTTTACATTAAAATAAAAGCGGATGTCATAAATCATAATTTCTAGCGATAAAGTCCTCTACTGGGTACTACCTCTATGGCTGCGCTTGACCCTAGAGCTCCTATACATCTTCAACCGCGAGGCACTTCAGTAGCGCTACCCAATCTCTTAGCTCTAAAACTCGCCTAAATGAAAGAAGTTTTGAACTCAAATACTTAATAAAAACATTCTAGTAATAATAGCTAAACGTGGACGTTCAATAGGTATACACGGACGCCCAATAGCTATATACGGACGCCCAATAGCTATATACGGACGCCCAGTAGCTATATACGGACGCCCAATAGCTATATACGCACGTCTAACAGCTATATACGGACGCCCAATAGCTATATGTGGACGTTCTACAGCAATATACTGACGTTCAATAGCTAGGTGATTTCCATGATTGGGCTCGCTGTCATTGCAGCGGTAAGTCCCCTCTTCGAGGAGTGGCTTGAGAGACGCTACGGCGTCCTCACCTACCGCCTGACGCAGGTGCTTACCGGACACGGAAGTTTCCGTAGGTTTCTGTTTCGGATTGGGCGGGAGGAAACGCCTGGGTGTCATCACTGCGAGGATCGCCCGGAGGACACGGTGGAGCATACGGTGGTGGTGTGTCCTGCGTGGACTGAGCACTGCCGTGTCCTCAGGAATGTGTTCGGCGACGGCGACCTCTCGCGTCCGGCTCTGGTTCAGACCATGGCACGGAGCGAGGGGGGCTGGGATGCCGTCTCCTCCTTCTGCGAAGCAGTCATGCTAGCTAATGACAAAAGGACGCTGCGGCGTCTTTACCTACCGCCTGACGCAGGTGCTTATCGGACATGGAAGTATCGGTAGATTCCTGTTACAGATTGGGCGGGAGGAAACGCCCGGGCGTCATCACTGCGAGGGCCGCCCGGAAGACCTGGTGGAGCATACGGTGGCGGTGTGCTCTGCGTGGGCTGAACACCGCTGTGTCCTGGATGTGATTGGCGACGGTGACCTCTCGCAACCGACTCTGGTTCAGACCATGGTACGGAGCGAGGGGGACTGGCATGCCGCAGTCCTGCTACCTAAGGAGGAGGCGGAGCGCGTGAGGGAACGAACCTCCTCGTGAGAGACACTCCGGGCGGCCGCCGCGAGAGACACTCCGGGCGTCGGGGATCGCGAGACGATCTCCGGCCACCGTAAGCACGGGTTCATTCGTTCGTTCGTTCGTTCACGCACGTTCATTCACGCACTCCGTCTCCTCCTTAAGTAGCAGAACTGCGGCATGCCAGTCCCCCTCGCTCAGTACCATGATCTGAACCAGAGTCGGACGCGAGAGGTCACCGTCGCCAATCACATCCCTGAGGACACAGCGGTGTTCAGCCCACGCAGAGCACACCGCCACCGTATTCTCCACCATGACTTCCGGGCGGCCCTCGCAGTGATGACGCCCGGGCGTTTCCTCCCGCCCAATCTGTAACAGGAATCTACCGAAACTTCCATGTCCGATAAGCACGTCTGCGTCAGGCGGTAGGTAAAGACGCCGTAGCGGCTCTGTCTCTCAAGCCACTACTCAAATCGTACATGATACCTGCTGAGGAAGTACGTGGATGTTCAATGGCTATATACGGACGCCCAATAGCTATATATGGACGTTCAATAGCTATATACGAACGACCAATAGCTATAGTATACGGACGTCCGATTGCTATATACTGACGTTCAATAGCTAGGTAATCTTACATGATACCTGCTGCGGAAGAAACTTTCTTCGCGCGCATGTCCATCAACAGCCTCCGCAAGACAATTGACATGGTTATGACAGGGGACCATAACCATGTCAAATGTCATTCAACGGGCCTCCCGTTTCGATGTGTGAGCAGTACAGTGATTTTTACACGATGACCATCGCATTTGCGTCAACTGAAATTTGCATGACTATGTTCGATTATGCCCAGTTGATGGTGCTAGTTTTTATGATAAACATTTCAATTGACTAATAAAGTAGAAATGTATAAGTACTAAGAATATTGATAGTAAATAGCGTATCAAATTTGGTTTCACATGCGGACGTTCAATTGCTATATACGGACGCCCAATAGCTATATTCCAATATTATTATATCATTTCAACAACATTGATAGTATAATATAAACCCACAACAAAATATAAAGTAGTTAATGGTCACAGCTGGTATAATCTATAATCTATCTATATAAATAAAAATTAATTTCAGTTCAATAGTGTCGCTAAAACTCGAGAGCGGCTGAACTGATTTGGCTAATTTTGGTCTTGAAATGTTCATGGAAGTCTAGGGAAGGTTTAAAATATGAGTAAAAAAATTTTAGGCAGTACGAAGTTTGCCGTGTCAGCTAGTCCATAACAAAATTGTAAACAGGTTAATAATGTTAGATATCTATAATTTTGTTTAAAACTTGTGGCACCGACTTCTAACCTATCAGTGGTTGACTGGGTGTGTAAGTTATAAGTACGTATGACCAATAATAGTTATTTATTTCCTTTTTAGTTTTTTACTTTTCGTTTGTCATTCGTTTTTGAAATCGGTTTTTTTAAACGCAGTTTTTTAATTTTTTCATTCAAAATATCCTGTACACAGTAATAAGCTTTGAATAATACAGCATTCCGTGACCCGCGATGAGGCGACTGTCGCGCTGCTGCTGGTCGCGGAATGCTGCTCATGAATATAAGCCTCTAGCGTGGCTTGAAACTAGTCGAGTTTCTCGTCAAACAGTTATCTGAGTAAGCCGAACACATAATAAATAATTTAGTATGTCTCACTAAAGTTTTGATGTAAACATGAATAATACACATTCGCTCGTACTCGTATTTATTAAATTTATTAATTTACTAGCTAGTTACTTAGCAGTCAGTACATAGTACATCTTCATACGCAGTAGTAATATGTATATGTGCCTCTATAGGAGCAACCCATTAAACGACTTCGATGACGATTATGTTGCCGCATTATCTGTGAAAATTTGTAAAATAGACTACTTTTCTGAGAATTACTGTAGACGACAAACTGTAATGGGGTCCTCATATTACATCTTTAGCGGGACGATTGAGCTCCGACAGTTAATTGACATAGGCACGGCAAGACTAGTGTACTTCAGTTACTGTCATAGCATTATGTCGTATGGCATTCTGCTGTGGGGACACGCTGCTGACATTGAGTTTATCTTTATCTAACAAAAGCGCGCCGTCAGAGCTATCTACAACCTAGGTCGTCGCGAATCTCTTAGAGAAAAGTTTAAGGAGATCAACATTATGATCGTTTCATGTCAATTTATCTATGAAAACATCATGTAGGTATGTTAGGAAAAACCTACAGTTGTTTGGTAAAATGTCGGACAGACACCACTACCAAACTAGACATAAGGATAGATTAAGTCAACCAATTTGAGATTGGCAAAAGTAAGTAAGTCGTTCATGGGATTCTGTGTTAAATGTTATAACAAGATCCCAAGCGATATACAACACCTAAATGAAACGAAATTTAAATTATATATAAAAAAACTTTATGAAGACAAGCATATTACAAACTTAATGATTATATAGAGGATAAAAATGCGAGGATGCAGGCTGGTCCAGCTCCACGGGATAACGAAAAATACTGATGTTTCAATGAAATCCAAACATGTAAATATTACAGTCTAGTTGCTAAAATTTATATTGTTTAACTTGCATAATCATTGTAAATGTGAGAGACCTGTAATTAACTAATATTAAATTGGACTAGTAGAATGCATTTACGTCAGCTTGGAGTTGTCATGTTCACTCAAAGATCTCATTGGCGGCAGCACGTGCAGTGTATCGCTAGATTCCCTGCAATATGGTCGAGTTGGGCGGTGCTGGTGTACGTGTTTTGTTCGTGAACGGGCGCCGTCAACTGGGACTGGTCAGCTCCAGAATACATTATTTATTGTCTTTACGGTTATTTTCTTTTTCGATCTCTTGACTAGATTTTGGTGTTACATTGTTCTCGTACAATCGAACCAATAGAACTGTGTAACTGGAGAATTGTATTGTGAACATGATTGGAAGAGTAACCTATTGAGTTTCTTGCTCGTTCTTCTCCATAGGAATCTACACCTTGGAATGAGCAAATAGCTTCACTTTTAAATTTCTATTGCTGACGTTCAAAAGTCTACGCCTTCCTGGTCTAATTGAAATAAATGATTTTGACTTTAACCAAAGCACAGAGTATGATATAGTACGAAGGCCATGGAATAGAAGTGTTTCATTTCAAAGATTCGTGTGCTTTCTCTTTTTTTGCAAACGGCCGAAATTAATAGATTCCATCAGAGACTTCGCCCGCGTCCCCGCCGGGTAAAGGTAGCTTATGTTATTCTAGACTATAATCGTCCATTTCAAATTTCATCCCGCGTCTCTTCAGCCGTTTTGACGTGATGGAGTAACAAACACAAAGCTTGGTCTCTCATTGCGAGCGGCACCATTAACCATTGCCACCATTGGCGCCGTGCCGCAGGCGCCAGCGACGACGGCGCGGGCTGCGCCGTGCTGCTGGGCGTGCTGCGCGCGCTGGCGGCGGCGCGGCGGCCGCTGCGCCACGACGCCGTGTTCCTGTTCAACGGCGCCGAGGAGAACATCCTGCAGGCCTCGCACGCCTTCATCACGCAGCACAAGTACGTTCGCCCGCGCCGCGAGCGCGCTGCGTCGCAGACTCAGTAACCAGGCCCGTCCGCAGGTGGGCGCGGGACGTGCGCGCCTTCATCAACATCGAGGCCTGCGGCGCCGGCGGCCGCGAGGTCCTGTTCCAGGCGGGCCCGCACGACCCCTGGATCGTTGAGGTACGTATGTATCCGTCTACCTACCTCTACCGAGAAGGTATGCTGTTATTTCGTCAGTTGGTCAGTCGTCAGTCAACTGATGATAATGTCTTCCTCTTAGAGACCACTCCCGAAGCCAGCGGTACTTGCAGCCTACGCCTGCTTACGCCGTCATGCCTTACTAACTACGGTTATTCAAATTATTATTCAATTGTTATAGCAGATTATAACATATATTCGCACAGATTTCGGTCAAAAGTTAGAATTTGTCGACGAGACAGTATTTTTAGGCATTACGTTAGACAATAGGCTACAATGGGGTCCGCATATAAAGGCGCTTTCGGGGAGATTGAGCTCAGCTGCTTTTGCAGTTAGACAGATTAGACAGCTCACGGAAGTAGATACAGCTAAGCTTGTCTATTTTAGTTATTTCCACAGCATTATGTCGTACGGCATTTTGTTGTGGGGTCGAGCTGCAGAAATAGAATCAATATTTATTCTGCAAAAGCGGGCTATTCGAGCAATATATAACTTACGCCGTTGCGAATCGTTGAGAGAATTGTTTAAAACGATAAATATTTTAACGGTGCCCTGTCAATATATATATGAAAATATAATGTATGTAAGGAAAAATAGGCAATTGTTTGAAAAAAGAAGCGATAGACACAATTTTAATACTAGAGGCAAAAATAAGTTAGCTATACCGCAATTCAGACTGTCCAAAGTACAGAAATCCTTTATGGGGTTAGGTATTAAATGCTATAATAAAATACCAAATAGCATACTAGATCTCAATGAAAGTAAATTTAAAACATATATTAAGCGCGAATTATGTAATCAAGCTTACTACACACTGACAGATTATCTTGAAGATAAGAATGCTTGGCAGCATGTTGGTTCGGCTCCACTGGACAATACTCAAATGTAGTCAGTAGTTAAATTCCAATAGTAGGTAATATAATACATAATTTAATACTTTAATTCTAATGTAGACAATCTAGTTTCCTTATGGCATCGAGCATTTCTTTCTTTATTGAAACAAAGAGTTTCCTTTTTCTTGTATAGAAGCACTATTTCTATGGATTGTCAGTATGCATATGTGAGCACCATGTTGGACTTAAGATCTTTATTATTTTTATTTTTATTTTAGTAAGTTAGTAGTATAATGCGTCAAGCGTGTCTTTGCATTGTTCTTACATATGCGTACAGTATTGAAATATGTATCAGAGACATTGTAGAACATACTTTTTTAAAAGAGTAACGAATGGAGTTTCTTGCTCGTTCTTCTCCATTCGAATCTACGTTTTGGAATGAGCACCTAGCTTCACCTAGCTTCACTGACGGACTGACTGACAGACTATTATTTATTTTGTATTTGTTGACGTTTCAAAAGTACCAAACTATGGTTTAATTGAAATAAATGCTTTGACTTTGACTTTGACTTTGACTTTGACTTTGACTTTGACTTTGACTTTGACTTTGACTTTGACTTTGA